CATTATAGGGTGTAGACAATAGAAATTACAGCTATTATAAAGAATCTGGTATCTGGTAATCTTAACTTTATACCAGGATATGTAAGTGCTTAATATGTATTGTTGTGTGCCATCAAGTCATAACCGACTCATAGCTGACCCTCCAGCAGGCTTTCAGAGGCAGTAAATCACGCAGGAGGAGATTGCCCATCCTTCTCCCACAGAGCACCACCTGGATTTGAACCATGTGCCTTTGGGATTGCAGCACAGTTTCTTACCATTAGACCACCAGAACTCCCCAACTTCTAGTTCCAAAGAAAAAGATTGTGATTAAAATGTTATATTTGGAGGTAAAGAAATTGACATTTAAAGGAACTCAATCATTTACTCAAAACTATAGAACTAAGATACTGCAAAGTCAAGATCAGTTTAATATAAAGTAAAAACTTCTCTACAATTTGATGCATTCCAGAGAGACTGTTGGTTAGGCTCTTGTGGAAAGCAGGAGCAGGTAGCCTTCAGTGGAAGACATGGAGCCAAGAGGTCTCCGCCACTGTCTCTTCCAGAGTCTGTGAGAATCAGCACTGTGTCACCTTCTCAGTCCATCTGTTCCTGTTCAGCCCAGCCTGTGGTTCTTTCGGTGGAGCATGCTGACCTAGTGCCTCTTTTTATTTGCATTCTTTGTGGTAAAGCAGATTCCCCCCAAAGCCTGTTGTTCTCTTTGTGGTAAAGCAGATCCCCCAAGGCCTGTATTTCAAAGTGTTTGTTTATAAATAGACTCAGTCTCAACAATCAGATAAAAACCCAGGAAATGATGTAAGGTGAGGTATTTTGTTAGACTCCTAAATTCTGTCACATCTCTCTCAGATGGCTGTTCACTCTGAGAGAATAGGAAAGCAACTGAACATTAAGCTTTTGATGAGGTAGCTCAGATATTAAATGCTGCAGATCCACCAGGAACAACCAGGGGCATTTCAGGGCCTCTGCCCCTTTCCTTAAGGAACCTTGGTGATGCACAGTGTCAGGCTACTAACCAAAAAGTTGGAAGTTCAAATCCAACAAATGCTCTGCAAGAGGAAGATGGAAAGTCTCTTCCCATTAAGGTTGTTAATTTTTTTTCACGGTTGAACGTTTTCTTCCCCAATTCCTCACCCTTCCTCCAGCCCACCCTACAATGCTCCCCTTCCTCCAGAGAGTTGTCATACATATAATACCTAATCATATATATATTCCTTTCAGACTGTTCTTCTCTCATCTGTTCTAGTGCACTGTTCATTACCTCTCCTCTTTTCCATTCCCTCCCCAACACCCTCCTGTCTATCTTATTTTATAATAGCAGTGTTACGCAGTATTATTTATCCTGTTCTGCCTGAGCTACTCTGCTCAGCATCATGTCCTCCAGGCTCACCCATGTGGTGTAATGTTTTACGAGGTCATTATTTTTTCAGGGCTATGTAATATTCCATTGTGTGAAAGTACTATAGTTTTTCTATCCATTCATTTGTTGATAGGTACTTGGGTTGCTTCCATCTCTTTGCTATTGTGAATGATTACGCAGCAATAAATATGAATATACCAGTTGACATATTTCAGCTAACAGATGCTGCCCTGGCCATGCTCACTAAGTTGTGTCAAGAAGTCTGGAGAACAACCACTTGGCCAACTTATTGGAAGAGATCTGTATTTGTTCCCATTCCAAAGAAAGGTGATCCAACAGTGTGAAAACTATAGAACAGTATCGTTGATTTCGCATGCAAGCAAGATTCTGCTGAAGATTATCCAGAAACGACTAGAACACCACATCAGCAGAGAACTGCTAGAAGTCCAGGCTGGGTTTAGAAGGGGTCGTGGTACTAGCGATATTGTAGCTAATGTTAGATGGATCGTGACTGAAAGTCTGGAGTACCAGAAGAATGTCTGTCTGTGTTTCATTGACTACACAAAGGCGTTTGACTGTGTGGACCATAACAAACTATGGCTAACTCTGAGAAGAATGGGAATCCCAGAACACTTGATCGTGCTAATGCAAAACCTATACTTGAACCAGGCAGTCGTCAGAACAGAGCAAGGAAACACTGCATGGATGGTTCAAAATTGGGAAGGTCGTACACCAGGGATGTGTCCTGTCTCCATACCTTTTCAACCTGTATGCAGAACAGATTATCCGTGAGGCTGGGCTCTATGAGGAGAATTGTGACATCAGGATTGCCGGAAGATCTATCAACAATCTGCGTTATGCAGATGACACAACCCTGCTTGCTGAAACTGAGGAGGACCTCATGCACTTGCTGTGGAGGGTCAAGGACTGCAGCCTTCAATATGGATTGAGGCTCAATGTCAGGAAGACAAAGATTCTCACCACTGGACCAATTGGCAGCATCAGGATGGATGGTGAAGAGATTGAGATTGTTCACAGCTTTAGCCTGCTTGGCTCCACAATCAACACTCTTGGCACCAGCAGCCAGGGTATTAAAAGATGTATTGCGATGGGAAAGTCTGCTGTTAGGGACCTCTCTAAAGTACTGAAGAGCAACAATGTCTCTCTGGAGACTAAGGTGCATCTGATACAGGCCATGGTCTTTGCAATCACTTGTTATGCATCAGAGAGTTCGATAGTGACTAAGGAGGATAGAAGAATTGATGCCTTTGAGTTTGGTGTTGGATAAGAGTATTGAGGGTACCATGGACTGCCAAGAAAACAAACAGATTCATCTTGGAGAGGGTTAAACCGGGCTGCTCCTTGGAGGCAGGGATTCTGGGACTTCGTCTGACATACTTTGGTCATGTTGTAAGGAGGGACCGGTCCTTGGAGAGGGACATCATGCTTGGGAAGGCCCTCTAGGAGATGGATTGGTTCGGTGACTGGGGTAATCAGGATGAGTGTGTCAGAGACAATGAGATTGGCACAGGACAGAACAGAGTTTAGGGCTGTTGTACATAGGGTCACTATGAGTCGCAGGTGACTCAGCGGCATATAACAACAACAACAACGTGCATACATCTGTTTGAGTTGGGGCTCCAGTTTCTTTAGGGTATGTTCTTAGTAGCGGAATTGCTGGTTCAAATGATATTCCTGTTTTTAACTTTTTGAGAAAACATCAGCCTGCCTTCCATAGTGGCTATACCATTTGACATTCACACCCTCAGTGACTAAGAGTTCCACAATCTCTCCATAACCTCTCCAGCATTTGTTGTTTGCTCCTCACATTAAGATTTACAGCTTAGAAACACAATGTAGAGTTGCTGTGAGTTGGAACTGGCTCAATACAGTGAGTTTGAAATCAGGGGCCCCTATTTCTTATGTATGAGTCTGCAACTCGGTGGCACTTAACAACAACAACATAGAGTTCAGTTGTCCTAGTAGACAGAAAATGATGCTACCAAAACAAAGATGGGTGATTTTTAGTCTGCGGCCCTCAGGCCTGGTTTTAATTGTTTTTGGCCAAACATTCTTCTAAATGGCATAGCACTGGTCTGTCCATTTGCTGTACAGAGGTAACTCATGGTTGCTGTGGTTCTGAACACTGTGACTCTGATGTGTCAAATGCAATAATGGTTACCCATGGTGGACAGTGTTTGGTGGAGCTCCCTGATTAGAACAAGCTTGGAAGCAGGAGTTGTATTCACTTCCAAAATAGCTTTCCTCCAGAAACTCAGTGAACTTGGAGAAACAATGAAAGTTATACAAGTGTTCAGGCCTTTCATTCATAGGGTCACTATGAGTCATCTACAACTCAGTGGCACTTAACAACAATGACATTTCTTATTTAGAATGAGGAAGAAGAAGAAATGGCACACTGAATACCTCTGATGCCTCCAAAGCCATGGAATTTTGGGCAAGGGAGATTTCTCAAAAATTCATATGTACTGTCAAAGATCAGGGTACCACTTGCACACCCTCCTTCCAAGAAGATTTGAAATCAAGTGAGTACTGGTGTGGATCTAAACCACTTTAAAGCCCGTTTTCTGTGGATTTCATCAGAAATTCTAGGTTTCATTACTGAGGGGGGAAAAATAAAAGAAAAATAAAAGATTTCATATGTCTCTCACAAGTCCTTTCTTTCCTCTTCCCTTTCTGCATGGGCTTAGGGAGGGTTAGGGTTAGGTAAAGTTTGTGCTACAAACCCAAAGGCACACAGCTCGAATTCACCGGCTGCTTCTCAGGAGAAAGATGGGCATTCTCCTTCCGTGCAATTTACTGCCTTTGAAAATTCACTGCAAGAACAGCCCTGAGTTGGTTTTGACTTACCCGCGCATACAACTGCAACACTGCTTATGAGAGCTCTTGTCACATGGTCCTTCATGCCCACAAAATAGATCAGAATCTGTGTTTAATCCACTGTATTTAAATCTGTTGAAGAGCACGTACTCCCATGTTTCCTCTCAGTGTTTCTTAGCATCCCTGCACCCTGATGTGTCATTCTCATGCTCATTTTTGATACAAGGCTTTTTCTTTGGATTTCACGCTCAGACTATTCATTAATGGGACCAATCCATTCCAGAATCTTTACTTTCCTCAAACTAGTTGAAGAAGGGATCTCTACTGTTCATGCATGGTATTATAAGGAAACACATTGCACTGTTCCTTATTTTATTTTTAATTGTAAAAGAAAAATTCAGGCCATATCTTTTCAATGCCAGACATTGGAGGTATAAAGAAGAAAAGAATCAATTTGTGGTGAGCATATATTTAAGAGTCAGATGGCTGGGATCACATGGGCTGATTGTGTTAGTTGAGACCCAGCATGCTGTGGTTGGGCTTGTGCTAATCTTCAGTGATGGAGTTTATAAGGAGTTCCTCTGCCAGCTCAAAGACCACGTCTCACAAGGGGTTCAGATCCACCAGTGGCTCCTTAGACAAAAAAGGGGGCAGCCACCTCCCATGAAATTTAGAGCTGTGGAAACCCAATGGCGGGTTAGCTCTCAGTTAGTTCTAACTCAACAGCTATGAGTTTTGAGTTTGAAATTTCACAGAATGCCATTTCCAGTTTCTTCTCAGTAATTGTGATTTTTGTCTCCAGGAACCAATGTCCAGGAGGCCCAGACCTTACTCAACAACAGTGGACTCCCCATTACTTCAGCCAGTGACCTGGAGGATGCAGCCAAGAAGGCCGTGGCCAGTGTGGCAAAGAAGTGAGGCCTATGGGCAAGAAGTCCATTTTTCCCATACAAAGATAGTTCTGCCACCACTGTGAAGAAAACGGTTATTCCATTGGGGGAAGAAAGGGGCTGGGGAAAACAAGAATCAACTGTGTGAAAAATCTTTGAAGTGTCTTTTTTTTTTGCCTGTGCTATCTAGGCAGCCTGAATATGATTTCAATTGTAATCTCTATCACCACTATGTCCTGAATTCTCTGTCATAGGGAGCATGCCCAGTATACAGAGTTTTGCTGACTTTAGGGAGAAGTCTATATGGAAAAAAAAAAATATATATATGTCCTGAATTCTCTGTCATGGGGAGCCTGCCCAGTACACAGAGTTTTGCTGACATTAGGGAGAAGTCTATATGGAGAAATATATATATAAAA